GGGAATTGTGTTCCTGTTTTCTGGTTGTGTATTTTTCTTGTTTTCGCTATTAGATTACCGTTTTGGCTCGTGTGTTTCGGTTTTGGGTTTGAGGCTTTCTGTTTTTCTGTTTTGTTTCTATCGGCCACAGTATAAATTAAATCGTTATTCAGTGGCATCTAAATCAAACCACTGAAGACAACTTTACTAGACAGAGAATTTCCCGAGCAGATTTTACTGAAATCGTTTACCAGGTAGGAAAGACGCTCGTTCAATTTGGAATTTTCCGAACCTGAGAAGATTTTTTTTACAATGTTTTTTTGGTCACGTTCCGCTGTACGTAGTTTCCCTAGTTTCCTATCTTCTCCGGTTTTTTATCTCTGGAAATAACTTATAATTTAGCCTTAGTTGCGACAGCGAAACAAAGTATGTTTGCTCGTTAATTTGTATGGTGTCCCGGACTCGACGTTTAGCTCCGACAGGCGTTTCAAGTTAAACTTTTAAATTTTATTTAAATTATTTTTCCTTGTTACTTCTTACACTGTAAGTGTTGGAGTTTTTAATGTTTTGTGCTTATAAGTGATGATTTCATTGGATATCTTCAAACATTTTTTTTTAATGATACATAAAATTGTCCCTCTTTCAGGAAGAGAAAAATTATACATATCCAATCAGCGGTACGAAAATTTATCCATTTCCAAGGTTCCTGACCTTACTACTGTTCTCTTTGGCCTCCTTTCATCAAGAATTGGTAAGTTTTTGAAAAATAGAAATTTATTTGATTAATTGATATCGCATTTCTCCTTCCAGTAAGGGGCGTTACCACCAGATTAGATTCTGGCCATGGCCGTGTGCGTAAATTTGGGGGCAGGGCAGCCAACCTCTGTTAATTATCTGAAGACACTTTAACTAATTTGAGTTGTACCTCATTTCAGGGAGAGCTGAATTATTTCAAGCGGATCATTGTGTCCAAGGTTCGAGACGTACGAGCTGTTTCCCATCATCTGTGACGGTACGTTTTAAATAAACATACCTTTAGCCGCGTACAGTATCAATGCATGGTTAGGTCCCTTCAGAATAGAGGTAATCGAGGCAGTTGTCGTCGATATAATTTTGAAGTTTCTTGTTTATCTTGCAAAAAATATTTCCCCAAGACGATATATTCTGAAGAAAACAAATTTAGATTTCTTTTTGATATTTCCTCGGAAAGGAGGTTGGACCGGCTGAGGACTAAAGCATTTTATCGATAGATTATCCCTGTCATATGTTCTTTATAACAAAAGTGGTATGGATAACACGTAGCGAAATCTAGGGATGATTTATTAGTATTGTTTATAAAGTTCGGTTTGTGTCTAACATGATAATACACATTTAAGTTACCTGTCATCTAAATGTGTTTCTGAAACTCGTTTCAGATAGAACGGAGATCAGGAGCCAGACTCTTAAGCTGATCTTTGAGACCTTTGTTGTGTCTGTTTTGTACAAATTGGCGTTAGTTTATATTTCATTTCATAGCAGTTATTTTGTTTGTTTTGTAATGCCACTTTTTAAGACTACAGCCCTTCCTGTGTGTATTTGCAAACGACGGTTACCTCGCTGAAGGTCATTATGTACCCTGATTGTCAAACGGTATGAGCTTGCTTGCTCTTCCTCCACCCCTACCCCCCCCCCTTCCCCCTCCCTCACTTCCCCCGAATCGTTTATATTTAATCTGGAATGTCTATCAATGTATGTGCTTCAGGTTACCTGTACAACATAATTGTAGCCATTTATTAATATTTCTGAAAACATGTCTCCAATCATCAGACAATGTGTTAATAGCAAACTGCTAAGCATTATCTGTAGAAATTGAAAATAGGCTACCAGAAAACCTAATTCGAAGATTTTTATTTATTTTATTTATTTATTAAGTCACTCACAAAACCTTACACAACTTGAACAAAAGGTGTTAATTAAATTATAAAATTAATGTGACAAGGAAGCCTAACGAAGCTTGAAGCTTATATTTTAGGCTTCCTTCAACTACCTAGTGAACTAAGTTCATGGCTGAGTGCAGAGTGAGCAAGATCAGAATATTAAACGACAGATCGCCTATCAGTGAGATAATTTTTTAATTAAAAAAAAAAAAAAAGATATAGAAGGAGAGCTAATTAGTGAAACAGGCAACGAATTCCAGACTTTAGGTCCTCGGTAAAGGATACTGAATTGCTTTATATTTGTTCTACGAAAATGAGGTCTATACTGAGAGGCTAGTCGAGTTTCGTATTGATGGACTTGATTACTACTTAAGAGCAAGTCATGAAAGCTATTAGGCAAAAGATTATGGTGATAAGAATACATAAAGGTAGCGACAGAAAATGAATTAATACTAAATATGTCAAGGACTTTAAGCTGGCTAAATAAAGGGGCGGTATTTGCTAGATAGTGAGCTTTTGTTATGAGTTGCACTAGACGCTTTTGCAAAAGGTAAATACAGTTTAGGTTGGACCAGTAGGTGGAGCACGCGACATTACAGTATGTTAAGAAAGGATATACCAGGGAGTAATACAAGGTCATCAAGGTTTGGGATGATAGGTAAAAGCGGGCTTTCGCAATAATTCCCACACTTTTCGAAATTTTTTTGAGACGAAATCAATAGAGAGATGCTGATCAATGAGAACACCTAAAAATTTTGTCTCTGTGACTTGCTTGATCACGGTATTTTCCAGAGTAAGAGGGACATTAACATTGACCTTCTTTTGCCTTGGATGAAAAATCATAAAATTTGTTTTAGTCTGATTTAGAGATAACTTATTCACTTTAAGCCAAGTAATTATTTTTGCAAGTTCATTGTTAACAATAGAAACGAGGTGGTTGGCATCTTTATGGGAACAAAAGATTCTTGTGTCATCAGCAAACAGTAAAGATTGAGTGAGACTAGAGACATTAGGAAGATCATTAATGTAAATAATAAACAAAAGAGGTCCAAGAATTGAGCCCTGCGAGACGCCACATAAAATTTTCCGCGGATAAGATCGATGGGACCCAAACTGGACAAATTGAGTCCGGTCGTCAAGATAGCTTTTGATCCACGCCAAAGCAGTATCCCGAATACCATAGTGTTGCAGTTTTTTTTTTCTTAACTTTTTTTCAAAGAGTGTAGAAAAGGCTGGAAGAATTGATTTTGGCCTGTAATTACTAAAAAGTGTTGGGTCATCTGCCTTAAAAACTGAAATCACTTTGGCTATTTTGAGAGATTCAGGAAACACACCAGTAGACAACGAAATGTTTGTAATGGTTACAAGAGGCTGCGCAATATTTTGGAAAGACTGATGAATTATCTTCGTGGATATATTATCATGTCCAGGAGCTTTGTTAGCGTTGAACGATTTAACAATATTGTTTAATTCCCCGACCGTTAGTGGTTGCAATGAAATGGATTCAGAAAGAGCGCTGCTTAAGAAATCCTTGGGTGACGAATTTGTGGAAGGAATTTTGCTCGCCAAATTTGGCCCTATATTGGTGAAGTAATCACAGAATTTATTGGCAATGCCAGTAGCATTGCTAATTTCCATTTCATTTTGGTGAAGCTTGCAGGATACGGTGATTTAGCGACACGCCTGTTGATCACTTCATTAAGAATTTTCAATGTTTGCTTTAAGTTTGATCTAGCCTTATCCAATTTGTTGTCATAATAATTTTTCCTGGCGATACGAACAAGACAAGTTAGCTTATTTCTAAATGACTTATAGCTGGATTCACGCTCATGACTTGGTTTCCTTAAGAACAATTTATACAGCCTAGACTTTGTTTTAATTGATTTCAAGATTCCAGTTGTAAGCCACGGATTATGCAGAGTTTTTAGGTTTTTCCCTTGACAAAACTTTATCGGAAAACTCTTGTTATAAAATTCAGTATATTTTTGTAGGAACCCATTGTAAGCGGCGTTAGCATCAGCATAAATTAGAGAATTCCAATCGAATTCACACAAAAGGTTGTTAAATGCATTAATATTCTGACTAGAGAAGTTGCGAATGGCAACACTTTCCTTAGGCTTAATTGTTGAAGAATGAGCATCAGTGTAACAGAGTGTGAAGATTGGTAAATGGTCGGACAGATCATTAATAATGAGTCCATTGTCACACAAGGCAGAAATATTGTTAGTAAAAATATTATCAATCAGGGTGGCGCTGTACGAAGTAAGTCGAGTTGGTCTCGAAATTAGCGGGTAAAGAAAATGAGAAAATAACGCATTAATAAACTCATTCGTAGCTGAATGCAAATCAGTGTTAAGAAGGTCTAAATTGAAATCACCCATTATGTAACACATTTTATTGTCCCTGGTTACCCGATGAAGCAATTGGTGAAAAGATTCCAGGAATTCATGCAAATTAGCAGAAGGAGGACGATAAACTGTACCGATAATAAAGTTTTTTCCATGCGGATTTTCGATTTCAACAAAAACAGAGTCAAATAAGGCGGAGTTTGACGAGCACAAATCAGACATAATGTTAAAGTTGAAAGTGTCGCGTAAATAAAGGCCTGCGCCTCCACCAATCCTGCCCACTCTATTCGATGAGATGAAACGATAGCCAGTAATGTTTACATAATCTTCGTTAGTATCTTTTAGCCACGTTTCTGAGATACCTATAGCTGAAAACTCATGCTGCGAAGAATCTAAGAGTTGGGTAAATTTGTCAAAATTTTTAAGTAAGCTACGAGCATTTAAATGCAAAAGCGAAAAGTTGATAGCATCCTTCTTATTACCAATTAGGTCATTTAGTTCTGGTTCGTTATAGTAACTACATTTAGAAGTAAGATTTAGAAATTTACTTTCTGGATCAATGTCACTGGATATTACAGTATTGCAGTTACTTATCGGGTTAAAGTATAGGCATTCTAATCGATCATTATTAAAACGCACTGGGCCGTGAGCTAACTCATAAAGGGCAAGATTAAAAGACACATCGTCAAGATGATTAAACGGAAATTCGCTAATATTAGTAAAGAATTAAATTAGGAGTCAACTTATCTGAGTTAAACTAGATCGAGGGTCTGTCTTTGATTATCAATTTATCCAACACAAAGTAGGCAATCTTTCCGGCTTGCTTTGTTTGTTTCAGTTTCGGCAGTTGATCTTTACGCCTTTGAAGAGTTTCAGCCGCAAGATCTTCATTGACAAACATTCCGTCTGGCTTTACAATCCTCGCGGCCTTTAATATTGGATCCTTTTGCTTCCAGCTTACCAGGCGACAAATAACTGTACGAGGACGCGCAGATGAAGCGTTGTCGTCAGAGCGCCGATTAACTTTACCACTACGATGAGCTCGCTCGATTTCCACCTTGAAAGGAAGATTGAGTTTGGATTCTAACGCCACTTTAGCTTTACTTCCAGTGTCTTCCCAAGTTTCATCGGGTTCCTGAGGGATTCCATCAATTCTAATATTGTTGCGACGGCTCTGGTTCTCGAGATATTCCATCTTGTCACAATGAAAATCTCCTAGGCTTGGACTTCTCCCAGCTCTTTTCCAATCTTAGTCATCTGCTCGGTTACTGGTTTTAGGTCTTCAACGTCTTTCTGGGTGAACTGTAGGCTAGATTTTAGCTCAGTCAGATCTTTAATAACACCATCAATTCTGCTGTTAACATTTGTCAACAATGAATCAAATAAATTGCGAAACAACGATTCTTGCATTTTCATCATCTCATATACATACGCCTTTGTTACATAGTCGCCATCACCGGCTTCTCGTTCTAATTCGTCGACGCCATCTTTGATAGAAAGGGACTCTTCGTGAACTTGATCAGTTTTTTTGCTTCTGTTTTTACGCGACGGTTTACTCATTTTCTCGGCTTATTCAGCAGGAATCTTACTGATTTGACTTAAAATTCTAAATTTGTTTGATTAAAATTTAGAATGAATTTTCGGGAGCACAGCTCCACACGTCTGCACTCTCCACGCACCAGAGAGTTTTAGGCCCTAGTTTTCTTTTCATTAATTCTATTTGGGCCCATTTCTAGTACCAGCGCCAACACTGAAAATTAAGAAGAAGTTTCATGCTTTTCAGTTTTACTCTTGGTCCAACGTACAGTCATTAGGCACTTAAATTAAGCTCTGGATGTAACTTGGTCGGCGGACACATCGTATCTTGTAACCTGTTTTTATAAGATAGCACATTAAAGCCATGTCCAGGCGATCAATCCGTTATTAGGTCTATAAACGCAAATGCATGTTTACAGCTACCCATATGCGAACAATATTTATCATTTATCCGTTGACTGTTTAATTGACCTTTATTGTAATCACGCGTGGAAGAACAAACCTGGACTAATTTCATTTTACAACCCGAGTACCAATCTCCTCTCAGTCCCCTAGTCGCCCTAAGGAAGAACTGATACTTAAACTATTCATTTAGAGGCAAAAATTTTCCCTTCAAGTTTTTTCTGAACAATTCATGTTTTGTTATCTTCAGATTGATTCGCCGAAGCGAAGAAAAGGGAGAAGAAAAAGGGGATTTTCCCAACAAACGATTGTAAGTTCCTGACTTTTTAAAAATATATTTTATGTAGAAGTTTCGTTTGAGCTGATTCTGTTAAAGCGGTCACCACATTCTCTTAAAGTGATCTTCTCTCTGTTAAAGAAACTGACGATGATGAAATGATGAAACTGATCCTGAAATATAATTAAAAACAGCTTTTCTCAAAATTTGCCGAAATGGAAAGCAGTATAATGATCGAACATTTCGGATACACAAAAAATTTGCAATGAATTAATTTGCAACTTTAACACTAGTGACTGCCACTAATGGTTTGTCAGGAAAGCTTTGCACAGTAGTGTATATACTAGGATAAGAAACATAAGATATTTTTCATGTTACAGTTACATTTAAAACATGAAACATATTTGTACAGTAATGCATTATAGGCTAGAAGTATGTCTACGCACTCTAGTTATTAGCGGAGCTCCACGCGCGAGCGAAGCCACATACCTCAGAAAATTTGGTAATGTATCCACCCGAGAAATTTTTGCAATCATGTGACAGTACGACAGTCCGTCCACACCACAGGAAAACCATTGTGTAATGTCAAATTTCTACCTAGTGTGGGAGCCTGTAACCTGTGTTTCACTTGATAATAGACATACATAATATATAGATCTAGCCAGGGTGANCACTAGTGACTGCCACTAATGGTTTGTCAGGAAAGCTTTGCACAGTAGTGTATATACTAGGATAAGAAACATAAGATATTTTTCATGTTACAGTTACATTTAAAACATGAAACATATTTGTACAGTAATGCATTATAGGCTAGAAGTATGTCTACGCACTCTAGTTATTAGCGGAGCTCCACGCGCGAGCGAAGCCACATACCTCAGAAAATTTGGTAATGTATCCACCCGAGAAATTTTTGCAATCATGTGACAGTACGACAGTCCGTCCACACCACAGGAAAACCATTGTGTAATGTCAAATTTCTACCTAGTGTGGGAGCCTGTAACCTGTGTTTCACTTGATAATAGACATACATAATATATAGATCTAGCCAGGGTGAAAGGCGAAGCTCCTGTTAAAAAATTTATTATTTAAATCAAACAATAAACTTGTAATCCACAAACCGGTTAACTTTAGGGCAGATCCATGTATATGACTTTTAAGATAAAAGCTGAGTGATTTTAGAGAAAAAAATTATTTGCAAACAGTCCAAAAGTAAAGCAAATCTTACATCGACTTGATAGTCTTATTTGTACACCCAAAAAATGGCAATCATGCACCTTTGATCACAGTAGATTAGGTTCAACCTCGTCCCCAGGGCTTTTCCCTTAAAAAAATGGGTGGGACGGGAAAAGCCCCACCCATTTTCTTAAGGGAAAAGCCCTGGGGACGAGGTTGGATTAGGTTTGGTAAAAAAAATTCTTCCCAAACAAAATAAACCAGTCACCCACCTACACCACCTTTATTTTTTTATTTTATAGGGTTAATTGGACAGCTCCGAGATATAATTTTAAAGGCCAGTTATAACCCATGTTCTCAAAAACACACCGCTCTAGAAATTACAAGACCTTACAATTTGCTTATATCTGAGAATATTTCAAAATTTTAAAACCGAAAATCCAACAATTGACGATGATGAAATGATAAAACTGATGCTGAAATCTAAAAACAGTTTTATTTCAAAATTAGCAAAAATGGAAATCAATATAATGATCCAACATTTCGTATACCCAAGAAACTTGCTATCAATTAATTTTTTTTCGGTAACTTTGAGGTCTCTGTTGTTTAAAGAAAACAATGTAGCGTGTTATATACAGGGGGAGTGAGTGTGTGTGTGTGTGTGGGGGGGGGGGGGGGGGGGAGGGCTACTCCCTGTACATTTTGTTAAGGGGGCTCAATGGGGTTTTCAGGGTCAATACCTCCCATAACTCGAACTGGAAGAAGACATCACGCATTATTACACATTCAACGCACTCAAATCTAAAACTGTAAAAACTGTAAAAATAAGAACTAAAAGTCATGACATATATATCGCTCTTCGAGCCTCTTCAGTCAATATGCTTAGTACTTCATGTAAGCTGCCTTAAAATAGTTTGCGTGCTCTAAGGCGTCATGTAAGCCAACATGAGAATACTTATCTTGTAGACATTGCGCCGTCATGTGCGACGATCGCTCGTGGAACGCGGAAATAATTCCATTCATTTTCCTTAGAGTTAATCAGTGAGCCTTCTGGTTCCTTGTCTATCCGGACACCCTCAGCTATTTGTTTTAGCATGGCGTCATTGGAGTACACACCCGTAACACTCATTTTAAATTACTGCATCTCACTGTTGTGTTTCTCTTTGCAATGTTTCCACAAAGCCGACCGCTTCTCCTTTTTGCTGAGTGACTTCATGTGTTCTTTCCCTCTTGTATACGCGCTGCGTGATGGAGTAACCTTTTAATCGCAACACCAGCTTTTTCGACCACCTTCACATTAAAACCCTGTTGTCTTATTTCCCTCTGGTATCTCCTCTGTAGCTGTGAATTCGGTGTAGCTGGTACAATAAAGATTACCTCCTCGTTTCCGGCCTTCTTGTACCAGTCGTTTCCCTTACTCAACATTTCTTGCTGTCGTTCTTTTCCCCTACAGGCTTTGGGTCGATGGAACGGTCTTTCCCCCTCTTCTTCGGCTTTCTTTCTCGCCCCATACGCCTTAAAGTCCGAGTCAACAACCTCATACCTGAACTTCTTGCTGTGTCCCGAGTGCTGCGTTCTCAGAACCATCTCATTAACATTTTCCACTACTCTCTCCCATGGTAAAGGCTTGCTACAATTTAGTAGAACTCTCAGAAGGGGAGGAAGGACGGCCTGATCGAAGGTTAGACCTCTTGTGTTAGAACTGCTCTCCTGATGGTCCAGCTTAAAGCAGATTTGGTGTTAATGACTGCCGGAAGCAGAAGCAGAAGAACCAAACCAATCACAAAGCGTGGGAACGTGCATTCTCATTGGCTTATCTTTCCGCTTCTGCTCCCGACTCCGACAATCTGGTTTTCACTAGATCATAAGCGGAACGTAAGCGACGGAGTCGTAAGCGGAATCGGAACGCTGTTTTCACCAGATCATAAGCTCGACGCTTCTGATTACGACTCCGACTCCGACTCCGTCGCTAGTGAAAACCAGCCTTTAGAGACCACACTTTTGAAGGAGAACTCGTACATTGATCACTAGGACCTTAACGACTTAATTCTCTATTTCCTTTTCCTTTGTTTCTAGCCACAACTATAAATCGAGGATAGGCAACTTCTTGTCTTGGTACTAGTTAGACGGATAATCTACTTCAAACTGTGTTGACAGGTGGATGTATTTCCCATGTTTGAGCATTAGCCACGTCGCAATTGACAAAGATTTGGAAAAATTACCACCAAAACTAGTATTAGATAAAGATGAAAATTTGTTATGAGGCAGCCGGGTTATAATACATCAGACTAGTCATGGGAGCGAAACGATACCACTGCCTATTCNACTAGATCATAAGCGGAACGTAAGCGACGGAGTCGTAAGCGGAA